ATACACACACATACACACTGACACACACACACACGCACACACACACACACTGACACACACACACACACCTACACGAGCCCCCCGAGACGACAACAAGACGTCCCCTCTTGGATCGTCCTCCCATGTCTGCGTTGGGCGGCGCGGCCGCTGGCCAGCCGCCCACCGGGGCGCCTGGCGTTGCGCGGGGGGTGGGGTGGGGCTCCCCCTCCTCCTCCTCCTCCTCCTCCTCCTCCTCCTCCTCCTCCTCCTCCTCCTCCTCCTCCTCCTCCTCCTCCTCCTCTTTCCTTCCTCCTCCCACCCGTCTTGGATCGTCCTCCCCTGTCTGCCCTGCCGTTGCTGGCCAGCGCCGCCCCCGCCCCGTCGCCTCGCCGCGGCGCCCTGCCCCCTGCAGAGGACCCCGCACGGCAGGCCGGGGGCGCGGCGGAGGCGGCGCCGACGCAGCCCGCAGGCGCTCGCGGCGCGGCCCCTCGCGAGCGTCGAGCGTCGACGTCGTCGGCGTCGGCCTCGTCGTGGTGGGAGGGGGGGGGGGCGATACGGTCTGGCCGAGGCATCATATGGGGAACGGAAGAGGGCAAGAACATAGACATTGGGTGGTCCGCGCGGGTTTCTGGGATCCGCGCCGTACCCCCCTGCCTGGCGCGCGGAGCGCGCCAGAGGCGGCGCCGGAGGCGCCGCTAGGGGGCCCCAGCGCGGATCCAAGAATCCGCGCGGACCTCCGAGCTTTCATGTTTATGTCATTGTTGGTTTCCCTATATAAGGTCGAGGTTGGTTCGGGGAGGGTACCCTACTGTTATTTGTGTTTGCTGGATGTTCTTGTGCATACTGGGGTAGAGTGCCTACGAATGTTCTTAAGTTGGGCGTGGAGGGTCTAATTTGCTCGAAGGATGCAATTCGGTCCTACGTGCGACCGTAGGGAGGAGGGGGGAGGACGAAGGGAGAGGCGGAGAGGATCGAAGGTGTCGGATTTACACATGAGTTTGACAACTTGTACCTTGAGCAGGGTTACTCGCTTGCACGGCTGGACGCCCTTGCAACATTGATGCCAACACGAACCCCTGCAGAGCCTCGGGGGCAAATGTTTAAAGCGGGCGCCGGCCATTTGGGAGGTTTGGGAGGGAGAAACGTGTGAATGGTTGTTCAAGTATGCCAGGAAAAAGTCGAAACGGCCCAACTCTGCACCCCTCCCACGGGGCAAGTGTGTTCATCCCGAGTCAGTGTTTTGAGGTCCTGGCGCCAACTGGCCTCCGACCGATCAAAAGTGCGCAGCATCAGCAGTTTCGATTGTTCGGGTTGCCTGATGTCTGGGTTGGGCGATATCGGGGGAGGTTACCAGCCCGTGACAGATCCACATCCCTCATTTTGGCGTCATCTCATCTCGGTGCCGATCTTCAGGATTCTCCCAGCTTCTGAGGGCACGCGCCTGAGATTGTCATTGCCGTGGGCTTGGCAATCTCAGGGAGAGGGATCAGCTCGAGGCTGGCCAGGGGGGGATGCTTCTGCCGCGACGGGCGCGTTCCCAAAAGCCTGTCCCTGGTGGCCACCCGTCCTCACGTGGGGCGTGTGCTGGGGCTGCGGCAGCGAACAGGTGGCGGCAGGGAAAAGGTGAACATGGCGAAAAGCGATTGAAAACCCGAATGACGGAGGATGAGGAGGAAGAGAAGGAGGAGGAGGAGGAGGCATCTTGGGAGCCTCTTGGGGCACACTTGTGGCCTCCTGGGAGCTTCCTGGGGGCCTCCTGGAGGCCTCCTTGGGGTTCATTGGGTCTCTTCGGGGTCTTTTGAGGCCTCTTGGGGAGCGTTCCTGGCCCGTCTGACGCCATCGGAAGCCTTTGGCCTCCCTGAAGGAACTGGGGGCCCTCTTGGGGTGTTTCTCTTCGCTCTCCCCAGATTTTCGCCGGGCCCGAGTCCTCGACGACCAGGGCTCGGCCATCGAGCTTCTGGGAACCTGGCTTCCATCCCCCGTTTTTTTGCCGGCACTGGTGCCCGATGGCCGATAGGGGCCTCCATTGGCCGCATATGCACTCCAAAACCTCGGGCTCGTCAGTTCGCAGGCCTCCGAATGTCTGGGGGCGGCCCTCCTACTCGTCTCGCCCTCGTCGACTGGCGTTGCGCCAGACTGTGCCAGAAGAGGGGGGGGGGAGCTTTCCTCTTGCTGCTATAGAAGTAGCGGGAGTACGAAATACTCCCGAGACTCCTCCTTCTTACCCACTTCTCCTTTTTGGGGTAACCAAGAGGACCCCAAAATCTGGGGTCCTCTTGTTTGCCCTCTTCTCCTTCAGGCTGGCGATGGCCCCGACATGCCCGAGGATGTGCTCTGTGCAGTCCGCGGCTCCAGAGCTCCTGGCCCCTCTCCGTGGGCGCTGTGCTCATCCCGCTCGGTTGCCCCCTGGTCGGAAACTGGAGCATATACATTGCCAGTGGCCGGCTGTTGCTCAATGCCAGGCAGTTTTGAGGGTCAGGGACGACGTCGGGGTGGTGTGGTGTATGCATGGTTCCCCGTTTTCCCGTGGAAGCGACAAAAAATTGTATACACCAGGATGCCTACGCATACACCATAATCCGTTTTCTTGTGCGAATCGCAGTGCGGGACTGGAAACAAGCTCGGTGTATAAAGTTCGGTTCCTTACATGGCCCAGTCTGGTATAGCCAGGACCCCAGGTAAGGGGACCCGGTTACAGGATGCTTTTCATGGTGAGCCAGGCCCTCTGTGACCCAAGCGATACTGCTATCCGGCGACCATCCGACATCTGTGTATCGCTATTCTTCGGCGCCCCGGGAGATGCGGGCAAAGATCCAGGCCGGGGCGCAGCTTGTTTGTTCGAGCGACAGTTTCGGATGCTCTTGTCTTCATATCCAGTCTGGTCAGCGTCAGGTCACCCAAACAGGCGGGGAAGATGATCTCGTTTCGCGGCAGTGGCCAGAGAGCTGCCCAGATACAGGGGACCCCAGGTATTTGGCCAGAATCACTGAACCAGGTCTGCCGTAGCTGGTGTCTTTTCGGGTGGCGGCAGTTCCGGTTAGTGGAACGGGGCGCGGGGGGGCGGCCCCCAGTACACATCTCTAAACCAGGTCCCACTGAACCTAGTTCTGCCAACGCCGGACCCAGAGATGTGCCGAAATGGAGGAGGCACGCCGGAAACTTCTCTTCTGAGTGGGACTTCACAGTGGTAAGTGTTGCTCCCGCCCTGGGTCCTGAACCCTGGAGGTCCCTTGAGGTCCCCGGAGGTCCGAAATGGGCTGAAAACGTCGAGTAAGAACCGTCCGACAACGTTCAAAACCCCTCCTCGAGCCTCGGGTGGCCGAGGGCAACACCTAGGGCTTCACAGTAACTGCCGCAGCATGCCCGACGCCCGCCCCTGGGCGTCCTCGTGGGCCGTGCGGCGCGCGGCGCCCCTGCCCTGGGAGCGGCGGCCGCGCGGGTGGCCGACGGCGCCAGCGACGAGGAGTTCGCCGGCGCCTCTTCGACGCGGCTTGTTCGGGAGCCTTGAGACGGGGGTCAATGCAAACGGGGGTCAGCCAGGGCACCAGATCCTTCAGGATCCTGCGAAGACCCCCTCTGGCTGACCCGGGTTAGCGAGCCGCTCGTGGCCGCGAGGCGGCCGCGCATATAGGCTGACCCGGGTTTGCGAAGATATGGGTTGCAGTTGTTTTTGTTTCTTGCATTGCAGTTTTTGGTATCCTGCTGACCCGGGCCTGGATTGACCCGGGTCAGAAGATCCCCGGCTTGTGAGGGCAATGCCCCGCACGTACAGTCGGACCGAGGTCTAAGGTCGAGGTCGGTTCGGGGAGGGTGCCCTAATATTCTTCGTGCTTGCTGGATGTTTTTGTGCATCCTGGGGAGGGTGCCCCTGGATGTTCTCCGCGTGTTGGCTAGCAGAGGGTCCCATGTTCTTGGGAGATGGTCTTCTGTCCTAGGTTCGACTGTATGCCAAGTGCATGCAAGTCCTCTGAACGTCCCGTAACACACCGTGCCAAGGACGTGGGAGTTCGGAGGAGGAAAAGATTCCCGTACCGCTACCCTTCCCTCGTTTTCTCCTGTTCGGGCCTCTGGGGAGGCCCTCGTTGCGACCCCTGGATTCGCCTCGCAATTCTGGCCAGAAGGAACCCCAGGGGAGACCTGGGTAGCGGTATTGGTACCTCTTGGTTTTCCCAGAGGGGGGGGGGTCCGGGCCGTTTCTCGACAGCCCCGAAGGCTGGCAGCGGCCCCCGAGGGCCACCGGCTGCGAGGAGCTCCCGTCGGGGGCCCCCAAACGGCGTGGTGACCACACCACGTGGTGAGTCCCACGACCGTGCGGCGATGGGCCGTGCGGTGATGGACCGCGCGGTGACGGACCTGTGCGGTGGTGTCTTGGGGGATTCCGAGGTCTCCACGCGGTCTGTCACCACGCGGCGTTGGGACCCCCAGGCAGGCTGCGAGGAGCCAGTGGCTCGAGTTCTTCACGCCTTCCGGGGGCGGGGTCCTCGTTCGCAGGCGATTTCGCGGCCCAAGCCCGGGGACACACCCACAGGGGGCTACTCGGACGCTCCCCTTATCCAGGATGGACACCCCCTTTACTGCATGCCCCCGTGCTAGGCCGTCTGGAACAGGGGTGGACGGATTCCCCGTGACTCGCTTGGCAGCCCCTGATACGCCCGTGTGGAAGCGCAACACGTGCTGCGTTCAAAACGTCCGTGTCGACACGCTGCGTGTTGCTGGGCGTCGCTCGGACGTGAGCATTTTTCCTCGGCGAGGACCATCCTGGACCATCGAGCAACAAAAAATAAGCACGCACGAAACCGAAAGATGCACGGGAAATGAACGTCCGAGCGATGGCAAGGTTGGCTCGGCACGTGTCGCGCCACGCTCTGGCACATGCACCGCGCCCAGCGCACGTGGCCTGCCTTCGTGTCGAGGCCCGTGCCAACGCGCCGCGGGTGGCGCCCTTGCGTACTGGGGGGCAGCACCGGTGGCTCGTCTTCTGGCCCCCCGCGTCCCCGCCCACCCTCGCCCCCCCCCCCTCTCGGCGACGCCTCGCCCCGCTCCGCGAGCGCCCCCCCGGGGGGGCTGCGCGCGCGCGCGAAGCGCGCCGCGCTGCGCAGGCGCGGCCAGAGACGTCTTCCGGGACCAGGCGCCCGGCCGCCGCCGCCCCCCCCGCTTGGCCGGCCGCCGAGGAGGACTGCCCCAGAGAAGGGGCGGGCGGAGAGGGGGGGAGAACTGGCCAGAGAGGGGGCGGGGGGAGAGGCTAAAACGACGCGAAGATCGAGACAACATCGGATCGGGAGAACTCGAGATCTCTGAGAATCGGCGGGTTTGCAGGATGTGTTGGGCGCCGCGGCCGCTCCAGAGCGTTCCGGAACGCTCTGAGAGCGCTCCGGAACGCTCTGGAGCGATCTATCCCGATCCTAGCCCTGTTTTAAAAGGGGGCGGGCGGAGAGGAGGAGGTTCAGTGCCCAGAGGTGGGGCGGGGGGAAAGGGGGCGGGCGGAGAGGAGGAGGTGTTCTGCCCAGGAGGTGCATTGCCCAGGGAGGCCGGCACTGCTCCAGGCCTCCCAGATGATCTCGGCGGCGAGCGAGCGAGGGGGAAGTGAGAAGGAGAAGGCGTCCACAGAAGGCGGCGGGGCTGCTCAGAAGACCTCGAGCCTTCTCACAGGTTCTCTCTGTCCAGGGAAAGCTTGGAACGTTTTTCAAAAGGCCAGCGAGCTTCCGAGCCTTTTGAGAAGGCCCGCCCTTTCTCGCTTCCCCCCCGAGCGCGCCGCCGACCACTGCCTGGAGAGGGGGCGGGCGGAGCGGGGGGAGGGACCGGCCCTCCCGGGCCCCCCAGGTGGGGCCCGTGGGATCCTCCGACCCCAACAGCTACCTCGAATCAACGGTACAGTTGCTCAATGGCAATCGTAACCGGCGCCAGAACGCCTTCCATTGGATTTCCACAAGACGAATATTTGAAATTACTGCAGCAGTTCAGCACGAACGTGCGCGGCGCAAAGGCGAGAGCCACATTTTGAAACAGGAGCCGCCCTCCATCCGTGAAGCTGTTGCAAACTCGCAGGACGAGTGCGTGCGGCGCTAAGGCGAGAGCCACATTTCGAACACCAGCCGCCCTCAACCCGAGAGCTCTTGCAATATTTTCGGGCGAATGCGCGCGGCGCCAAGACGATCACCACATGTTAGAGCCGACCCGCCCTCCATCCGTGAGAGTGCTGCACAATTTCAAGTTCGCTGCGGTACGCCGAGAAACGCATTTTGAGAACAACCTCCCTTCCATTTGCAAAATCCCCGCGAACTTTCAGGACGAATGCGCGCAGCGCTAAAGCGAGATCCACATTTCGAATACCACCGACCCTCCATCCGTGAAGTGTTTGCACACTGCTTGACCGAAAGTGCGCGGCGCTTCGGCGAGAGCCATATGTTGGAAACGGCCCGCCTTCATTCGTGACGCTGCAAATTTCAAGCCTCAGGATCAGAAGCGGTGGAGAAGTCTCTGGCAAAACGCACGGCCCGCCTAACCGACACGTGTCGGGGCGCGACATAGATGAGTCAATAACGGGGAAAAAAGAATTGACGGGGAGGGGGGAGGAGGAGGAGCAGGAGGAGGAGGAGGAGGAGGAGGCCCGCCGCCTGGTTCAATGATATTTCCCCAAGGGGTTAAACCCAAGGGGGTGGAGGCTCGAGGGCGGCGCAGCGCCAGGTTTTTTCCTGTTCACTTTCTTCACGGCTTCGCGCGGCCGCAGGGAGCACAACCGTACCTCCTTTCCAGTTTCCATGGGGGGCGGAGGCAAAGGCAAGGCCCGCGGCGGCAAAGGCTCTTTCGGCAAGAAGGGGGTCTCGGGCAAAGGGGCGCCACCGACGCCAGGGCCTGCGCCCACGCAGGCGTACGCATGGACATGTTCTAATTATACCGCCAGTGTCAATTTACGTCATCAGTGGTGTTGGCAGTGCGGGCAGCATTGGGAGGAGCCTTCACGTCAGCCGGACACACCATCGGAGTCCTCAGGCGCGAAGGACAAGAGCACCGTGCCGAAGGATAGGAAGACGCCAGAGCAAACCATCCAGAAGTTGCAGCACTCCCTGGACCTCCTGAGGCGTCTGGAGCCGAGTGCTGAAGGTGCCGAGCAGGGCCTGGCTGAGCAGGCTATGGCGCCCACGGAAGGTCTATTCGCCAAGCTTTGCGAGGAGCGAGATCCCGAGAAGACCGACAGCCAGCTGGCACAGGCAAACCGTTCCAAGCTCTTCAGAGCCCAGCAGCAGATGGATACGTCGGGCGCGCGCTGGTGGAGGCGGACCTGCAGGCCGCCAGGACTACGTGCGCTGAGATAGAGCTGAAGGTATACAACCTATTGGTGGAGCAGCAGAGAGCGAGGCTGGACCCGCACGTTGGCGACCCCCCTGGGCGTCAGCCCCAATGGGGCAGAGGCGCATTTCTCTCAGCCATGGTCATGAGCAGTCCAACTACCTCTGCCCAAGCCTTTCTGAACAGCATGAGTGTTCGGCATCGTGGCCTGTCATATACGCTAACAGAAGAATTGCAAACGCTCATTGTGAAGTTCGCAACGCAGGTTCGAGGTGTCGCTGGAATCCCAGCCGAGCCCCATGCCAGGCAGCAGCAGGTCGCGCAAACGCAACCACTTCGTGGACCTCATGAGGCAGCTGAGCCAATGGCGCCCCCAGCAGCAGAGGAGCAACAGGCACAACCAGATGTCGAGATGGAGCAGGCCCGCTTGAGCCGGCGCAGAGCTGCAGAGTCGGATGCCGAGAACGCAGCGAAGCGCATGCATGGGGGAGGAGTCGGGGGCGTCTCGTTCGGAGGGCGAGGGGCCGCCTAGGCAGCCGCCCGGGTACCGCGCAGCGGGGGAACTCAAAGGATGGCTTGCAGGTCCTCACAGTCAACGGCAACAGCTGGCATTTTACAAAGTTATATCTTTTCGAGGGTGAGGCGAAATTGGTACCTGTACAAGAAAATAGACTTCATGATATGGATGCGTGGGGCGAGCGTGAACACATCGCAAGTTGGGCTGGAAGTCTCACTGGGCACCCTGACACATCTCTGCCAAGGGCGGGAAGAGCAGCGGCGTGGCAATCTTGATCCGTGCCCACCTTCACGCATTATGAACCGCGCTTTCCGCGCCATTTGCTCCAAATATGCGTTATCGCAGCCGTTTGTACGGCATGTTTCGATCCATGTTGGATCTTGGAAGGGCGGGGGAGGATTTGGGCCCGCCAACTTACGATCGCGCAGGCTCTAGGACATGACGCTGTAAGAATCCGCATGCCATGCACTGGGAGTAGGGGATAACAACCTGAACTGGGGCGTTTCCTCTGTCGGCTTCGCACCGCGCGAAATGAATGGGCAGTTTGCGATGCCTTCGCCGGCGGCTGCGTGCACGTCGGCAGCGCCAGGCAGATGCTACGACTATGTTCTATCAGTGGAGTCGGCGCGGACCGACGTGCATGCAAATTTCTGCGCGCGTCGGCCCGTTCTGCTCCGCTTTTGAGCTAGCGCGGATCAGATCAAGGTCCGCCATTTCAAGAAATTTGCGAAGTCGCCAGTCCAGCGGCCGACCGGGCCCAACCCAGAGCCCCCCGAGCACCAGGACTTGGAGGACAGGCTCACAGAGCTCACGCAGCCCCTGGAGATCCAGGAGGGCCACCGCATGCCGCCCGCGGACGAGGTCCCGATATTGCAGCGGGGCCTTGACGAGGCCTACAAGCAGTGGTGTGCCAGGTCTTGGGGGGGGGGCCCTGCAGCGCTATCCACCCTGGCTTCAAGGGGGCCGCGCTCACGAGACTCAAAAGATCCCTTCTGGCGACCTGCCGCGCGCCAAGGAGGCCCCCCACAAGGGGCCCATGTCGCGTTCTGCGCTGGGCCCCCCAAAGAGCCGCAGAGTTGTTCGCCCTGGTCAGCCGCGGCGAGAATTTAGAATCTCCCGAATATTTCAGAAGCCTCGCCCGGTCCAGCCTGGGTGCTATGGAATATGGTGGCATTTTCAAGTATCGCTATCCTGGCGGGGGTGTCTCTGGCCGCGGCTGCTGGGCAACGTTTTACGTCCTCTTCGTTTTCCTGGGCTCTTTCGATGTCAGGAACTGGCGACGCGCGCCCGCCCAGAAATGGAGGGGCCGCTGTGCTGGGGCGCCGTCAGGCGGGGCCGAGTGGGCGCGCGCCCATGCGAAGGTCGCCACCGACAGGCGTCGGGAGACATCGCCGGCAGACGACGGCGCCACGCACCTCCTCTTGCCATCCAGCAGAGGGGGGAGGCGAACATATGGAGCAAGGCTTGGGGGGGGGATCAGAAGGAGGGGTCTCTAGGGGGCTGCAGTCGGCAGAAATGAGTTTCCTCTTTCGCCTTCGCCAGATCGCATCATGAAGTTGAGCAGGTCTTCCAAGCGTGCTTCGACTGCAGCGGGCGGGTGTCATCCTCGCCGTATCTTGCTCCTGTCGTGACCAGCCTCGAGCGTTCTCGGCCTGGCCACGGGGCTTCTCGCGGTGCTAGGTTCGACCCCGAGCAGGGTGAGGAAACTGGCAGTGGCCCTCTTTCAGAAGCCGATCAAAGGCAGGCGCTCGATTGGATTCTCCCAGAGTTTGATCCGCACGAGTTCTCGCCGGCACTCATATGGCTGCCGGAGCTGGGCGAAGAATATCTCAGACCCGATGATCTTTTCGATGGGGCCTGGGAGGGGCCTTTTCAGACACCGCGCGGAGGCAGCAGGTACGGGGTGATCTACGCTTATAGCGGCGCGCGAATGGCAATGGCACCATAGGCACGCCACGGTTCGCACTGCGCGTGCATGCATGGGAGCGGGCATTGAGCTTGTAGGGGGTCGTTTCGTTCGGACAAGGTGGGGCCTGGGCAGGGGTCGGGGCGGGCAGCAGCACGGCTACGCATGATAGTAAGTGTTATTGTGTACCCGCGGCCAACGTGTGCCTAGAACGGGGTGTCACGTGCGCATTAGCAGCGCACGTCGACGATTCGGGTCTGAACGAATACAATGCTTCGTTGGGTGTCTGCGTGCGCAACATGGCGCTGGCCGCGGCTTCTTTAGTGGTGCAGCTGTCAGCGAAGTTCAACCTCCGCTTCGCCTTTTGAACGATTGTGCGATCGCGGGTTCCAGCCGTTCGTTGGTGGAGTTGGCGCAA